AGATTTGCCTTTGCGGTAAGCATACTGGTTGTAATGTATGGGCCTCGTAGCTAGAGCTACATCCCTTATATATCTATCTATGACCTATTCCAATGTCTTAAGAAGAAAGGAAGATAGGCTTATAGGTCTAACGGACTTTGGTAAAGCGTAGTCCTTTCTACCAGCCTTAGGTATAAATAGAACCTTGACAATTCTCTATCGTTCTGGAATATATCCCCATGCAAAACTTGCTCTGAAGATTTTCACAAGATAAGGAAGAAGGATGTCGATACCCCTCTGTAGTTGGATGGGAATTTTTCCATCCTCCTCACTTGATTTTAATGATTCAAATGAGTCAACAGCCCACTGCACCAGTTTTGGCCTTAATATCTTTGCAGCCCTACGCCAGACCTCATTTTAAGGCCTTCTTCGTAGGGCTCAGAAAGATTTCAAGGCTGAAGTCTTATAGACCTTGGGAAATGGGTTGACGCTAGTAACTCCAATGTTTCTGTTTCACTATTAGTGAAGTTACCATAAAGCTTTTTAAGAAGCCCGATCTGATAAGGTTTAGCTTTCGATAGCATCTTGTATAGTCTTGCACTGCGAGGCAAAGTCTCAACTTCCTCGCATAGCTTTCTCCCCGATGCTCTCTTGGCTTTCCTGATTTCTTTATTATATTCAATAAGGGCTGCACTGTAAATATCCAACTCTCTTTTTTTCTTAGCCCTATTAAATAGTTTCCATGTCTTTTCCCTAAGTTCTTTCAGTTTAGAATTCCACCAAGAAACTTTTCGTGTTGAGTTCTTGGTTTTGACGGGACAACTGTCCTCGAAGGCTTCACGGATACCTACGGTTACTCTCTCCGTCGCTAACTCCAGACCTTCAATTGTTTTGATGCTTTTAAGAAACGTTTCTAAATTCCTCCTTAGGCTATCTGTAGATATCCCAGGAGGTCGCTTTCGGATCCCTAAAAGTAACGGTTTCAAAGATTGGTGATGCTCCAATCACAAACTTAATGTGCTTGTGATCAGACATCGAGTTTTCGCTACTAACATGCCAGTCATTTATCCGCCTAGACATGTTATTGGTAGCAAAGATTATGTCTAACACTTCTAGCACACGTTACAAAGGTTGATGTACAACCTAAGTTTAGGCTTACCAGGCGGTTGGAGATGAGAAAATCATAAAGTACCTCACCTCTTTCGTTGATGTTGGTGCTTCCCCAGGCTGTGTGGTGAGCACTAGCATCACAACCCACCACAATTTCGGCGTTGTGTTTTCGGACAAACTCCGCCGCTCGCTCTAACTCGATGGTAGGATCTGCGTTCTCGCCGGGAAGATAGGCTAAGCAAATGATTACTCTGGCCCCTGTGCATCCCTTGAGATTTATGAAGTCTGTAACCAGGTCATCATTGCAGTACTCTGGAATAGCTAAAAGTTAAATATTTTTAATATAAAACTAAGGACTTGTTGGAGTTGGGACGGTACGGGCTCCATTGCTGCGTCAGAGCCTCCCTTGACTTTAAAAGTTATCATCTTAAAGCCAAGGATGACTCTGCCGCCTGCCTTCCGAAGAGCCTCCGCCGATGAGTCGTCCAGAGAAAAGGTTAATAGGAACCCATTCTCCTCGTCCCTATGGTGGAGGATTCTCCAGAGCTCAGTATGAAGCCCTTCATTTTGTGCCTCAACAGCACAGCCGCCTCCTCTGGAGAGTCGGCTTCGCTGCGGGGCAAGTAGGTAATGCCCAGCTGAGGCTTAGGCAGTTCGCCCTCGGGTAATACCGAGAGCTCTGTCTCCGGCCAGGGCTTTAGATTTCTGATTTCACCCACAATCCAGTCCTGGCTTGCATTATTCAGGCACGTTACCAGAATCCAACCTGGCTTGTGTGTGAAACCCGAAAATTTTGGACCCATTTCCGGTTGCGACCCACAGGCCGTCTTAGCGATGGCCTGTGTTAGTTCCCGGTGGACCAGCCACATCTGTTCCACACTTATAGGATTCGACTCGCGAATTCCTACACGCGCGGAGCCAGCTACGGCACTGAAGCTGAGCTTCTTCTCCTCCGTTGCCAGCTTCACAGTCTTCCTGAGCTGGTCTTTTGGGGGACTCTTCCTCAAACCGACTGCGTTTTTTCGCCTTTGTAGCTGGGGGAGGCTTGGGCAGAGGAATTTCGTCCCAAGGCTTCTGGCAGAGAGATAGGGCCACTTCGGCTCCAATCTCAGCTGCTATCAGTATTCGGTACCTTTTCCTCGCTGCCCCACTAAGCTTATAAGGACTAGCGAACTTTTTCTTTTCTCCTCCCTGGTTCGTTTCCGATTGTGGTTCGGCTGCGAACGTACCCTCCACTTCACGACTCGTCCCAGGTTGGGGCGCATTATTGCAGGGTGTTGGTGAGGCTAAAAAAGCCTCTTCCAAACCTGCAGCTAATTCCATTAAAGGAGACTTCTCATTGTCTTTTACAAAATGTCAGTTTTTATCCATTTTGTGCCCACAATTAGCTGGGAAATACTTGGTCACCCCCGCAGAGCCCCGCATGCCGAGGGAAGGGCTAAAATACTACCCGAATCGCCCTGGTCTCGGGTAGGCACCGTTTGCTACCGGACACCCACCAGCCACGTATCCATCAGCACGGTACGCTTGACACCTTGGATTGGGTTAGGATAGGAAAAGGGAGAGGGATAAAAGAAAAGAAAAAGAGGATCGTCCGAGTGTTTCTGTTCTGTCTGTTTCCTATTGAACCAGACCGAATAACAGGCGGCAACCACGTGAAGGAGAACTCTTCAGACTTTCCCTGGGGATCAACACGACCTGCGCTCTCCATCAGAGCCATAAGCCAAACTACTAGCCGGACAGGAGAGCAAAATAGGTGTTAATCTAGTCCTATTTATAATATCAAAACGTTAAGAGTAGACTAGCTCCCGCCCTAAAACGCCCATTTGCTTTCGCTTCCAGGTCTCTTACAGCGAGTGAGAGTAATTATAGCCAAATACAGAAAGGGGCTACGGCTATAATATTTGGCGTCAAATATTTCCACCAATATTTATTTGGAGGAAAAGAACCTTTAATATATAAGCTTAAAACAGATCATCGGCTCCTATTAGCCATATTTGGTAAGAAAAATAGAGTCTCGGTAATGGCGGCATCGCGTCCCCAAAGGTTCGCCCTATTTTTTTCAGCATATAATTATGTGGTTCAATGCGTATCTAGCGATAAAAATGTAATAGGGGTCTATTTTTCTCGGACACCTAATGATAAATCCTTAATGATCACGAAAATACGCCTTGATTAAAACTACTTTTACGGATTTTATCGCGTTTTATTTATATTAATTTTAATACCCGACGTTTCGGGTGCTTTCCAGCACCCATGGTCATGGGAGACTGAGGTGACTGACGTCCCGATGTCAAAGTTAACCCGGAGTACCTTCAGCTTTTTAATTATTGTCTTTGGTCCGATTTACGAAGAATCAACTAACTGTATTTTGATATATTGCAGTTGTATACTTGGGTTTAGTTTTAATTTTATTAATTATAGGATCCCAAGCAGGTGGTAGTATCCAGCCTCCTTCTCTATTGAAATTAGGATGTTTTTTTAATTTCAATAGTCTCACGTATCATCCTTGGTAGGAATCGATGTTCTTTCGCGAGGATTTGTGGTCTATCAAATCTGATGTAATGGTTGGGGCCATCTAGAATATGATCGCAAACTGCAGACTTCCCGGAACGTTGATGCTTCACGTCAGCTATGTGTTGTTTTACGCGGGTTCTAATTGATCTCTTTGTTTGACCTATATATGAGAGACCACAATCACAATCAAGCTTGTACACTCCTGAATCTTGTAGAGGAATATGACACTTGACGGATGGTAAGAACTGACTAATCTTCTTCGGCGGCTTGTAGAATGTTCTAATGGAAGCTCGCTTCAAGATGTAGCCAATCTTGTCTGTGACACCTCTGACATATGGTAGTATAGCAGGCACACGCTCGACTGTGGCCGGCTTCACTCGGTCACTGTGACGGAAGCGCGGGACCCGAAGCTTGTTGTCGTGCAGAACCTGCTTGACGTGCTGAAGCTCGGCGGCCAGGTGTTTGCTGTCACAGATCCCTCGTGCTCTCTGAAACAACACCAATTTCTAACAACACCATAGGTCATACTGTGTATAGAAAAAAGACCCATACAAACCGATACTTAAATGGTGAATCTCACCATCATCCTTCACAGTTAGCTACCGTGGGCAAATCTTTGTTTCAGAGAGCACGAAACCGCGCGCTATGTCTTTGCTTTTAACCATTCCTAAATGACTGCTGCTGCTGCTGAAGCTGAAGGTACTCCAGATTAATATTGACATCAGAATCTCGGTCACTACAGTCCCCCGTGATCATGGGTCAAAACGTCGGGAATTAAAAATAAAAGTAATTAAAAGTAAAATTAAACGTGATAAAATCCGTAAAAGTAGTTTTAATCAATGTGTAGTGTTCGCGTAAATGTAAGAAATCATTAGCTTCATAATGGTCATTTAGGAATGGTTAAAAGCAAAGACATAGCCTGCGGTTTGATGTGGTGGCCGGAAATTGACTCTGCTATAGAGCGATTAGTGTCGAGCTGTAGCGCGTGCAGCGCTATGCGTTCCTTGTCAACACGCGCGGGCGCCGTAAGTAATGTAAGCAATTAACGAATGAATGAATTTTTGTTAAGATATATGTTCGAATATCGCAGCATTTACAGTAGCACCGGTGAAACACCCGTAAAATTAATATTCGGTCGTGATACTGTCCTACTAAAACCGGGAAGGCGATTAGATTTAATTTTATCGCCTACGAATACCTACATGCAAACATGTTATGATAATAGTGTAAGACGATTTAATATTGGTGAAAAGGTTTGGACGCGTTGTTATACGTCCCGTAAACCATTCTGGTCCAAAGCTACAATTGTAAGTAGAGAAGGTAACAGAACGTATACGGTTTCAGTTGATGGTTAAGGTCTTTGCAAGCGACACGTAGATCAACTGCTGCGATATATGGAACGAGACAAGACACCTGAAACTGCGAATGATGTATATAGTGCATCAATATTTCACACGCAGTATCCTGTTGCCATCTCCCCTGCACCTCCTCCTGTTGGTACGACGGATATTGAAAATAACGCTCCGCCAGACGGCACAGCATCCACAAATACGCATTCTAATGCCAAAACATCTTCACGGCAAGGCAGTGAGCCAACTTTAATGCTAGATGCGGATAGAGGAGAAGCGGTGGTAGCAGATCGGCAGAGTGCTCGGTGGAGGGGATTATCGAACGACAGGATGGCGGAGAATAACCTGAGTTTGCTTCTGTTGCACCTATGCCCGGTCCTTCCCCGCCACAGCGATACCGAACAAAATATCCCTCGCTGCGGTTATAATTTAAGACCAAGGGAAAAGAAAATTGTTAAATTATAACATACGTTTTTGTTGTAATTAGTTTCTCAAATTAATGCAGAAGTAGATGATGTATATGCGCACAGGTACTTCAAAATAATGAGCCAGTAATAAACGAATTAACTGGCAATACGGTCGTTTCATTTAAATCGCATACACTACAAACTAACTGGGTAAAAAATCTTGAAATCGTCATTCCAAATTTTAAGCATAGAACGAAATTATAAAGGTTTCTTCTAATTATGAGCGTGACCTTAAAACCTAACCTGAGCATCACAATGTAGAAGACATCCATATTCAAAATTTATGGAGACACTTATTGGAATAATTTCTATAAATTCAAGCGTCATAAAGTATTTTTATGAAACATAAACTTATTATTTTTTTTTTTTGAAATTTTTAATTTAACTTGACAATACCGATTTATGTAGAATTTAATTTCAACTCAATTTTTCATTGAACTCTGAATGGCAGGACAATGACGCCTAATGAAAGACATATTCCGGTTTTCTTACAGAAATTGAAAATTAATCTGCTTTAAACGAGTCCCCTTTCGTCTTCCAAGGTTAGCTTCCATGGATAGCTATGGCTTAGTCAGTACAAGCATACACGCCTCGAGGCAAAAAAAACAAAATGGCTGCCATTTCATCATGCAGAGACAAAAAATAGGGATAGTGATTTGTCGATAAAAACTACCGTATTTCAAACCCCCCACCCATTAGGACGGTTGTTATAGCCACGGCTGTATGTTATTTGTGAAATTAGTTGCGTCACTTCATAACTTTGTCATGACACAGACTGTATCTATGTGTGTGTGAAATTGTAAACGTATTGTTTTAATTGTTATGTGAGTTTCGTAGTGACAGACGATTATTTCTGTGTGGGAGTCTGAGAAAGTTTGAGTGGCGCAGATTTTCCCCACAAATAATGACAGACAGTTTGTTATATATATAATAAATAAATAAATATAGAATATATATATACTCGATATTTATCTATTTATTTGCACTTTATTGCACCTTAATAAAGGGTGGACTTAATGCATTTTCGCATTCTCTCTCAGTCAACCCAGGACGTGTAGTTAATAATTTAATAGGTGACAAAAATGAAATTAACAATAGAATATATCAGAATATATTAGCTTTAAGAAAATTCTTTTGCCGTATACTTATATCTCCCTGGGGTTAACCCGTCAAACCCCGCCGCTATAAATTCTTTATTCCTTACAAGTCGGTTTGAGTGTGTGATATCGCTTCAGTTATTCATCGGGTATGATATTATTGCTTTATAGAATTTACGATTTTTTAATATTTACGTCGTGAAAGTTTAATTTAGTTACTTTATGTAGGAAATATATTAAATAAAGATAATGATAAAAATTCATGAAAAATACATAAATATATTTTTACAAAATATTATTTACGTACTTTCACTTAGTATGAAAAAAAATTAATTATTATTATATTATTATTAGAAGCTTTTTTTTAACTTCACTTGTATGTTTATATGTCCTGAAATTTTGCAAGCAATATTTCACCTCCTCCCACTTAAGCTATTGACCTAAAATTTAGCACACACGTTTGGTTCTTAAGACAATGCATGGTTACTTAAATGCCGCCATTTTTATTTCAATATGGCGGACGTTGCAAAATAGTAATTTATCATTTTAACAGCTACCTCTATGATATAGGTACTTCACGAAAGGACTTAATAAATAAAACACAATAGATAAAGTGAAGTTATTTTATACTAGCTGCATGGTCACTGGGAAATGAACTATGCATTGCTTTTTGAATTGAAAGAAAACTGAGTTTTATAGATTTGTCAGAGATGCAGCCTTTAAAAGGAAACTGAGCAAAATTGATTCGTCAGCCTATTTAAATGTTTTGAAACGCAGCGTATAGGAAAGCATGAAAATAGCCTGTTTATTCCAAATGGAAATGGGATATTTTTTATTAACTAAAGTATATATAGTTTAAATTTATTCTGCTAGATGTCGTTACTAGGTTTTTAAAACGCGGTAACGAAATGTTTCCTGACATGTACTTAACTCCCGCCGTTGAGCCGCGCGTCAACTTATAGTTCACACGGTACCTAAAGTAAAGTAAAGTTACAGCCTATATACGTCCCACTGCTGGGCTCAGGCCTCCCCTCATTTCTGAGAGGGTTTTAGGGCAAGGAAGTGTCCGCCGCGCTGCCCAAATGCGTGTTGACGAACTTCACATGTCTTCGAAATATTTTTTTTTCTTATTCCTCAGACATGCAGGTTTCCTCACGATGTTTTCCTTCACCGCCGAGCACGTGGTAAATCAGCACTTAAAATTGCAATTAACAATTTCATTGGTGCCGGCGGGGATCGAACCCGGGTTACTCGCCTTCTGTTATATTTACAGCGAGCGTTAACCACTGAGCTACCACGGCTCTATACGCTTAAATTGTTTCTATTTCGTAGCTTATTCGACTACCTGCTTTCAATTTCGGTTGTTTGTTATTTGCTTTGTGATTTGGTTAAGGTTGAATGGATTTATATTGGGTTTCATTTTCGGATTTGTATATTTTCTTGGATCGGTTTTGTTTATTTGGTTGTTATTACTTAATACATATTTAGACTCTGGCTTTGATTTTGCATTTTGTTTAGTTAGAATCGTGAATTGGTTTTCGTTGTTTTAGGTTGTTTAACAATATTTCAAAGGAATATTAATAGTATAGATAGTGTATACGGTAGCTATACACTTACTTCTTTTTTAGTTGGTTATATTTATATTGACTACTGCTTTCGATTTCGGTTTTCTGCGATTTGTTTTGTGATTTGGTTTAAGTTGATTCGATTTATTTTGGCTATCGTTTTCGGATTCGTGTTGTGTCGTGAATTGGTTTTATTGTTTTGATTTAAAAAAAATATTTAAAAGGAATATTTATTCCTTTTAAATATTTTGGATTTGCTTTTATAAAAATTATTTAAAAGGAAATTTAATTCCTTTTAGGTATTTTAACGTTTTTTTAGAAACGGGTTTTTTGTTACTTCATAAGGCGTCACAAACGTAAGTCCAGCCTTTCAAGAGTATCTTCTCAAAGACAAGCGAAAAGATTAGCTCGATCGCTAGAATCTTTGGAAGATGCTGAACTGTGAAGGCAAGAACAAGCAGAGCGTCAGGCTGCTTTTAGAGATCTGTGACACCTTCTCAACGTCAGCAAAGGCGCCTTGAACAGACAGAACGTCAGGCTGCTTTAAGAGCTTCCGAAACACCTTCTCAAAGTCAGGAAAGGCGTCTTGTATAGGCAGAGCATCAAGCTACTTTAAGAACTACCAAAACACCTGCTCAAAGTCAGCATATGCGTCTTGAACAGGCAGAGCGTCAAGCTACTTTAAGAGCTACTGAAACACCTGATCAAAGTCAGCAGAGGCGTCTTGAACAGGCAGAGCGTCAATCTACTTTAAGAGCCACTGAAACACCTGCTCAAAGTCAGCAAAGGCTATTCGAACAAGCGGAACGTCAGGCCACCTTAAGAGCCGCGGAAACAACTTATGAAACTCAACACAGACTCATTGAGCAAGCTGAACGTCAATCTACTATAAGAGCATCTGAAACATCAGAACAGACACAGGCGTGAACAGATGCAAATGCACAGCTCCAAGCTGAACGTCAACGAAATTTTCAAAGAAACAATTGGTCGGTTTTTATTGACGCAGCATTCAATTATGATCCGTTGATTGATTATAAAAATTACAGGTTAGTTGTTATCGGGCTGATGGACAAGGCGTGTCGATTTTGCAGCACTTTAAAATGGAAAGATAAGACCGCAGGCATGTGCTGTTCCAATGGCAATGTGTCTCTTCCGTTACATGGGGAACCATAAGAACCTTTGAAAACTCTCTTTTAATATGATGCTAATGAGTCAAAGCGCTTTTTAAACAGGATCCGGAAATATAACTCATGCTTTCAAATGACGTCCTTCGGAGTTGACCGGGAAATAATAATGCCGGATTTTCGCCTACATTTACGGTGCAAGGGCAAATTTATCATAGAATAGGTTCACTTTTTCCAGCTGAAAACGAACAGCATAAATTTTTACAAGTATATTTTATGGGTGACGAAGAAATTGAGGTAGACCGTAGCTGCCAATTTATCCAGGGAGTTGAGAGAGACACAGTATTCCAGCCTTCTAGATTGTAGCCTATGTCACTCTACAGCCACCGAACTATCCCCATACAAAAAATCATGCCACGCCGACGCTCTGTTGCGACGTGAAAAAGGACAAACTTGTGCAACATATTCGACTTTCCCACGAGAATGAGATGTTTTTCCGCGGAAAAAGTAGCCTATGTCACTCTACAGCAACTGAAATATCCCTATACCAAAATTCATTCCATGCCGACGCTCTGTTGCGACGTTAAAGAAGGACAAACTTTTGCAACATATTTGCGTCGGATAAGAGCGTCGGCACAACACTGCACAACGCACAACGGCACAACACGTCGGAACAAATCTTGTACGGCAACAAGGATAAATACTGGCAATTAAAAAAATTCAAGCTGGCGGATCTAAGTTGTCGATTAAGAACTTAGTTTCTCCAATGCCTATAAATTTTATCTCGGGGTTTTTGGAATCCCTGATTACGAGTTTGAGTCGAATTGTCTGAATCAAATTTTGCAACAGAAATTTAAAAGTACTCTTTGCGAGGTGACTTCATTATATATCCAATATGATTAGTCAACCAATATGACGAACTAGTTATTTTTCATACACTCTCATAATATAGGTATTATATGAAAGGGTTTTTTGGGACAAATGCGAAGAATAAAATGACGTCACTCTAAATCCAATAAGGTGAACCCCAAAGATAGCGTTCTATGTTTTTTTTATTAATCAACATAATATGAATATCAAATGAATACATGGATTCAAATAATGATAATAGGATCAACACTTTTTGTACTTACTGCCCGGCTACACGGAAGGATTAAGCGGGGTCGTGTCCGCACTAATATTGATTTAACGCGCTGGAAAATTTCGTGGCGG